GCTTCCAAGGGATTTTGCAAAGCAGCCAGGAATGCCAAAGTCATTCAGCGGCCTCCAGCACTCTCTTGATAGAATCAGGCCAGCCGTCCGTAAATAAGGTTTGTCTCCACCTTCTGCCCACCTCCCTGTCGCTGCCCGTCTCTGAGCGCCTGCTCTCCCAGCTTTCTCGTGCCACCAACTCTCAAACGCAGACTCACCACCGAGTAGTCCTGACTCACAGCCCCCTAGAAGGCAGAGGAGAACTGCCCCTGGGCGGTTCTGAGACTAGCTCTTCACAGGAGCGGACAGCTTTTCCTTTCTCTCGAGGAGTCGCTAGTGGGCGTGAACTGTGGGCCTTGCAGTCAGCAGCCCAGTGCATTACTCCCTGTGCCAACCAACCCCACCTGGAAACCCCTTCCCAAGCCCCTTAGCCCTGGAGAGCCAGGGGGTGGGAGGGGAGTGGAGAGCGAGGGCACGCGAGCTCGTGAGCTAGCTCTGGGCTCGATTTCTAGATGGGCTGCTCTTTCCTTGTTTACTGGAAGGTCATCCTGGGATCATCCCCCCCATTTTAATCACACTGCGGGGACAGTTTCACATCCAGAGGAAATGTGGGAGACGGCAAAACCGGGTGACCAAGAAGCTTCTGAATGGCCACTCACAGCCCTGTCACTTAGGGACCCTTCTGTCTCTTGAAGTCAGGTGACGCTAGTCCTGTTTTTGTTTTTTTCTGGAGTTCCAACTTGGAGGTTGAAAGGTTCCGATGCCGGGTGAGAATCTTACTGAACAGAACAAACTCGAAGGAAAGAAGCAGATGGGAAGGTGCTGGAAAAGATCATTAAATCATTTAAGTACAAATGGAGTGGGAAGAGACGCTGGAGGTGATTTGAAGGATTTTGTCAAATGACCCCCCTGCTTAAAAGTCCCTCGGCCAGCTTGCTGTGGTGCCCATAATTCATGCACTACCCTTCAGGGCGACCTTAGAAAGTACAATGTGCAGGAAGGAATACCATGGCCCGTCAGCTCCCTGGAGGCATCGTCCCTTATTGATGTCTCGGAAGCCAGGAGGGGATGGGGAGATGGTGTTGAACTTGAGATAAGTTCTTCATTTTGCTGAGTGTGGCCCCAGCCAAAGGAGCTACTGCTGCCCAGGTCACTGGCACCTTCTAAGGTTCCTGGAGATTCCTGAGAGTAAGGTAGAAAACAGCAAAGATCGTATACTCCGAATCTGTCGGGCAAGACCATGGCATCCAGCCCACCGAGTTGCTCGGAGCCTGGTATGAAAGGCAGGATCCTCGGCAAAGAGATTGTAAATGGGTTGCCTTCGCTAGGTTAGGAACCCTGGTGGTGTGGTTGGGTTATGCATTAGGCTGTTAACCACAGGGTCAGCAGTTTGAAACCACCGGCTGCTCCTTGGGAGAAGGATTGAGGCTTTCTATTTCTGTAAAGAGTTACAGTTTTGGGAGCCCACAGAGGCAGTTCTACCCTGCTTGATGGCAGCGAGTTAAGTTTGGGTTGGGTTCCCTCCCAGCGTAGATGGCCTCCGTTGGGTTTGGCTGCTGTTTGAAGAGCCTTTTCTCTTGTTCACTTTGATCCACGGCAGAAATTCAGAATGGTTCTGTCCACTAGGTAAGGGGAACATATGCCTTTGACCCAGAACATGGTCCATTTTCCACACAGCCGGAGACCCCTGCTGCCCTCTCCTGTGGCCTGCGGCAACTGCGCTGTTCAGCATGGCTCCGCCCCTGGAGACCCCACGTAGAACAGAAAGGCACACTGGTGGGTCCTGAGGGTGGGGATGTTTGAGTCCACGTGACAGCCGGGGTCTAGTGAGGGCCTTCGAGCGCATTCCAGCCCTGGGCTCTGCTCTCCCAGCAGTGTGGCCATCAGTGCTCTGAGTCATCCGCGCAGCTGTCCATGGCTAGCTTTGTAGCAGTGGGTCACCCGGCCTTTCTTTCTCATCTGCCCAAGTCTAGAAGCTCTGCCAGAATCTTCTCCCCAGCCCCGTGTATTGTACTGTGGCGGTTGCTGCCATTCTGGAAGCCGTGTCACCGGTATTTCAAATACCCGCCAAGTCACCGACATAATGGACAGGTTTCAGCAGAACTTCAGATGAAAACCCAGGTGACTGTACCTGTTACTTAGGTGAGAGCTCATCGTGATAAAAGAGAGGGACTTTCTTATTTTTAACCATACCTAACTTGGGAGCACTGATAGCATAGTGCTTATGTGTTGGGCTGCTAATGACAAGATCAGCAGTTTGAAACCACCAGCCTGCTCTGCAGGAGAAAAAGGAGGCTTTCTAAACTCCCGTGAAGAGTCAGAGTGTCCCACACGGGGTAGTTCTGTTTTGTCCTGGAGGGCCGCTATGAGTCACAATCAACTTGATGGTAGTGAGTTTGGATATACCTCACTGAGATCAGTCATGATTCAACCTCTCGGTTTGGAGAGGCTTTTTTTTTTTTAATTAAATACTTTTATTGGGGACTCTTACATCTCATCACAATCTGGAGTTCCTTTCTTATGGATGCTGATAATGGGCAATATTTGGGGTTCTCCAAACTCCTTCACTTCATTTGGATGTGAACGTTGGACGCCGACTAAGGTAAACCAAAGTAGAATCGATGCATTTGCATTATGGTGCTACCGAGGAATATTGAAAGTACCAAGGACTGCCAAAAGAACAGATGAATCTGTCTTGAAAGAAGTCCAGCCGGAATGCTCCTTAGACGGCTAGACTTCGTCTCGCATACTTTGGGCACGTTGTCAGGAGAGACCAGTCTCTGGAGAAGGACATCATGCTTGGTAAATCGGAGGGGCAGGGCGGAGGAAGACCCTCAGTGAGATGGGTTGACCCAGTGGCTGCACCGATGGGCTCAAATATTAGAACCATCGTGGGGCTGACACAGGACCGGCAGTGTGTCCTTCTGTTGTACATGGGGTCACAGTGGGACCGGCTTGACACACCCAACAACAACAATGACAAAGGATAAAGTAGGAGAAGAAGCTGTGACACTTGATTGGCATTGTCTTCCCCACACCTGACAGCCGCAAGCACAGGGCGGGCACATTGGGTGGTTCTGTCCAGCGGAGAGAGAAGGACCTTTGAGACAGACCTCCTTCCTACACACTCCCCGCCTCCCGACTCCCGATGATGATGATGATGATGATGATGATGATGATAATAATAATAATAATATCCTGGGGAAGGGGAGCCTAATGCCTGTAGTAGCAGCCTTTCTTGCTTTAGAGGCAACATCATGCCATCTGCGTGGTATCCTTGGAGAGGTGCCCGGGGTTTCGCTCATTGCAGGTGTGGGCAGCCTCGGGCCTTCTCTGTGGGTACTTGAAGGGCGGAATCAGGTTAGGTTTGTGGGGGATTTGGTTGTTGACGCTCCTGGCTTGGGAACTGGGATGTCTAGCACCTGGCACGGTGCCAAGCGGGAAGGCATTTCCCTGGGTTCATCGGGGACTAGGCCTTTCTTATCTTGGGTGGCACAAGTGGAGGGCCCAACCCAGCCTGGCTTCCTGACTTTGAGCAAGTGTTTTCTTTGCTAAAATTTTAATGACCTAGTTCAGCGTACCGCTCGTTACCCACTTTATTTGATCTTCCGTTTTCTTGTTATTCTTTAAGATCTGGAGTAGTCACTGCGTGCTGGGCTTCCCCTGCACATCCCACTTCTATGACTTCCTGCTGCTAAATAGTTGGCAGTCCTCAAAAGAATGAAACCGCACTGACCTCGACGCCCGTCATCTCTCTACTAAGAGTCCAAATTCTACAGCCTACGGTGGCTGGTCGTCTCCATCTCCAGCAGCCTGCTTTGTCCTGGTCACCTTGTGCCTCTGCCCTTTCCACTTGGCCTGTGCGCTCTTTAATGCCCAGCTTTTAATGCCAGAAATCACACTCCCTTGTGCTGTGAGCAGCCCGCACTGGGATCATTATCCAAGAGCCACAGCATGCTTCATACAACGTATGTTTGCCGTTGTTGATGTAGCAGTTACCATCTTACTGACTGCCACCCCCACCATTCTACCCTCCACTCATTACCCTGTTTGTTTGAGTTTTCGCTTTGTAACTGCTGTGGGCCAGAGGTTCCTATTGGTCTGCAGCTGTAAAGAACAGAACGTTCCGCTTCTCCCAGTTGTTTTTCCCCAACTCACCACCCTGGGGACTGGAAGTATTGTTACAGCAGATCTCTTACCAAGAGGAGTCCCTGAGTGGTGTCCATGGTGAATGCTTTCCGCAGTTCACTGGAAGATTGGAGGTTCGAGGCCACCACCGGACGTGCCTCCGAAGGAAAGCCGGGTGATCTACTTTCCAAAAAGGTGCCGTGGAACATGTTGTGGAGTGCAGTTGTACCCTGACACCCTCAGGATCGCCTTGAGGGGGAGTGGACTTGGTGGCAACTGGCTTATTGCTCCGAATGGGAACCTAGCATAATGACGATGCAAGAAATTGTCGATAGTGGAGCTTATTGTTGTTTTGTTTTCTAAAGATACCTTGGGATGTTGTCAGGTGACACTGGGTTGGCTTCAACTCATTGTAACCCCTTATGTACAACAGAATGACCCACTGCCCTGTCCACCACAGCCTCGCGATCGTTGCTGACTTTCAGCCCGTGATTCCAACCACTGTCAATCCATCTCAGTGAGCGCCCTCCTCTTTTCAGTGACCCTCAGCTGTTACAAGAATGAGGTCTATCCCCAGCGAGTGGCCTCCTGACCATGTGCTCAAAGCACATGTGAGGAGTCGCTATGTTCATAGGAAAATCCTCTTCCAGCCCCCAGTCCTTGGGTACGTTCATTACTACTTACTGCTTCCTATGTTCGTTTGAAGATTTTCTGTTTTGTTTTGTTTTTCGTTCTTGTTAGCGTCAACTTAATAGATAGATTCAAAGAATAAGTTGACTGTTAAGCATCTCTAGGAAGTTGAGCGCCTCGTTGTAATCGCGTGGGGACCCCTGGAGGGGTCCTCGTGCTGCCTGGTTCAGGCTTTAACCCAGTGCTGCTGCTTCTCGTTGCAGTTACCTGGCTGAGCAGTGCTGGAATGGCGGCTTCATCTACCTGATCATGCTGCGTCGCTTCAAGCACAAAGTCCATTCTCCTTCTAATGCCAACAGCAGCAACAGCTCTGAACCGGCAGAGGCGCCTACCGTGGAGCTGGGTGACCGAACAACGAAAAAGAGCAAGAGAACACGGAAGTTTGGGGTTATTTCCAGGCCTTCCACCCCTAAGACCACTGAACAACCCCAGAGCCACCCTGGCGGTGAGCTGGACAATGACCCCACCTCGGAGCTGGACAATGGCCCAGACCTGGAGCTTGGGAATGGCCATGTCTTTGGGCTAGAGAATGGCCCAGATCCGCTCAAGGAGGTGGCTGGAGCCCTTCTAGAGAGATCCGAAGTGGACAGAGGGACAGAGCTTGGCATTTCCAAGTCTGCGGCCCCTCTGCCCACAAGTCAGGACAAACGCCGCCTCTCAAAAGTGGGAAAGACAGACTGCCAATCCAGTGACTGCTTGGCACGGGTAAGGTTTGGTGGGATTGTGGAGCCGGAATGTTCAAAACAATAGTGTTTCGAAGTTGTATGTTTGAGGTTTAGCAAATATATCAGACCTAACCTTGCATTTCGAAGCTATTAAGATAATGCATAGCCAGACGACGTAACAACAATGTTCAAGTTCTTTTATCCTACTTAAATCAAGAGCCCAGCTCAAGTGATCAGAAGTGGAAAATTCAAGCATTCTGTGGTTACCATTTGAGTCATATGAGACCCAGATAAAGTACGTGAGCAGCGTCATAATTCATCAGCTGCTGACACCAGTGGAATTGCGTCTGCTGGGCCCAGAATTCCCGGTGGCAGTTGATAGCAGACATATCCCAGCCTCCGTGTGCCTCAGGAAGGATGTCCCACAGGCAGGGAAGCATCTGCTTTTATCTTTACCAGTTCCAGAGCAGTGACACCGCCTTGCACTCTTGGGCACGACATTGCTGATTTCCAAGGAAGTTTGGAAACTTCACTGGCACCTGCGATACTGTGCTGCCAGAGGTGATGAATGGTTCCAATGTAGTGTGTTCTGAATGGCCACATAAACTTCTACCCTCAGATCGTCTCCCCCATGCTAACCCACCTTCTCTCGTTAGAGGTACATTTCATTGAAGTCTTCTTCCTACGGGCTTCTCATGAAGCAAGAAAGTCTGAAGTGCATGCTATTAGTTGCTTCTCTGGCTCAGGAAACACCCTCTTAGGGTCAGAGGGCAAGGTGGCAAGTGGGCAGAGTAGGTTGTTGTTGTTGTTATCGTTGTTAAGTGCCGTCACTTGGTTCAGACTCATAGCAAATCCATACACAACATAACGAACACTGCCCAGCCCTATACCAGCCTCACCATTGTACTCATGTTTGAGCACATCAATGTAGTCACGATGTCAACCCGGTTCAGCCTTTTTTGCTGCCTCCTCCACTTTATTAAGCATGATGTCCTTCTCTAAGGACTGGTCTCTCCTAATAACATATCCAAAGTGCGTGAGACAAAGAGTTGCCATCATTTGCCCGTAAGGAGCATTCTGGCTGTACTTCTTCCAGGAAAGGTGTATTTGTTCTTTTGGCTGTCTGTGGCACTTTCAGTGTTCTTCCTGAGCACCAAACGGGACTGCGTCACATCTTCTCGTCTTCCTTAGTCAGCGCCCACACTCCACGTGCATGTGAGGTGATTGAAAACGACAAGGCTTGAGTCGGGGGCACCTCAGTCCTCAAAGTCACATCCTTGCTTTTCAACACTTTCAAGATGTCCTGGGCAGCAACTTACCCGATGCAATGCATTGTTTGAGCTCTTGATTGTTGCTTCCAGGAGCACTGTTTGTGTATCCAAGCAAGACGAAATCGCCGACACCTTCGGTCTTTCCTCCATGTATCACCCCTGGTTCCAGTTGTGAGGATCCGGGTGTACTTTACATTGAGTTGTAATCCATCCTGGAGGCTGCCATCCTGTGTCTTCATCAGCAAGGGCTGCAAGTGCTCTCCTCACTTTCAACAAGCAAGGTTGTGTCATCTGCACATTGCAGGTTGTTGAGAAGCCTTGTTCCAATCCTGATAACTGAATCTTCGTGTAATCCAGTTTCTCTGGTGCTTTCCTCAGCACACAGATCGCCAGTTTGTTGGGCTGTGGTGGCTTGTGTGTTGCTGTCATACTGAACGTTTCCTCACTGGTCATTCAAATAGCAGCAGAGTCACCCAACGTGAACTGATTTCAGCAGAGCTTCCAGACTAAGCTCAGACTTCGAAGAAGGAATAGGCTTATCCGTGTCAGAGGAATTAGCCACTGGAAACCCTACAGATAGCATCAAAACAGTGTCAGACAGGTGTCACGTTCATCTTTGCATGCTGGGAAGTGTTGCCCAGAGAGAAGATGGTATCTGTTAAGGTTTCTTGTGTGTGTCAAGTAGATTCTGACTCACAGTGACCTTTTCGGACAGAGCAGAATTTCCCTGTAGGGTTTCTCCGGCTGTAATCTTCATGGGAGCGGGACATCAAGTCTCCGATGGGCCATCTAGTGGGTCCAACTGCCAAGTGCTTAATCACTGCACCACCAAGACTCCTTGAGGGTCACTGTGGGTTGACGTCCACTCATGGTGCTCATCAAGAGCACTCATAACGCCACTTAGTGCATATTTCTGCCATTTTAGCTGATCTGAAATCAAAATTGCTCCTCCAAGAGGTTGCCTGCTTTCTTTTGTAGCCAGCTGAGCTTCATACAGCCTTATAGGGAGGAGGCAGTCGTAGTGTTTGTTGCTGGAACATGTACATAAATGAGAAGGAAGGTTTTTATTAAATATCTTTATCAGTGATTCTCTACCAACTCAATGGACCTCAAGAAAGAGCAGTTAGGTGCTATGAACCTGGCATTCCATGATGCTTATCTTCCCAACACCATCGCTGAAGACAAAGCGGGTCCATAAGCAAATGTGGTGAAGAAAGCTGATCGAGCCCGGCTATCAAAAGATATAGCGTCTGGGGTCTTAAAGGCTTGAAAATAGAAAAAAGAAAGAGCAGTTAAAAGGGCATAGAGTTTGGCCCCGAACAAAATTCAATTTTATAATGTGTTTCTTATCAGTGGATACAGTGTCTTGAGAAGCATTTTTTCCTTAATGATTAGATATACAGGGGATATACAGGAAATTGGTGGTCCAGGGTGTTGGCTCCCTTAGTCATTTTAGAAGTGTAATTCAGGTACCAGGAAAGGTCAACCCTTCCTGATCATCCAAAGAATGGGCTTTCATTTGGCTTAGGGCACAGTGGAAATAACTGAGAATGATTTCAAAGAAGCCAGCTTTTTAAAGAATGCCTGGCATCTTGTCTTCTTATAAACCTTTAGAATACAATTGGATTTTTGGATTAGACTCTCTGGAGACCACACACGGCAGTTGCCTTGCCCAGTTGTGGCGCTGAGGGTCAAGCATGCAAACTAGGGGCAAATCAGGCCCCTTTTTTGAGGCACACACCTCATTAGAAAGGAGAGAGGTGCAGGTGGGATTTGCATGCTTAGGAACTGTCAGTATTCCAACGGATGACTAGCCCAAGTCATACTTTTGGTTTTTGTAACTCGGGCTGAGGCCACATGCCTTCTCAGGCCCTGATATTTCAGTGCCCTTGGCTTCCACCCCTGGAAATGCCTTCATCCGTGGATTTGCCCAGGACCAATCGCGAGTTGGCAAGAGGCACATCCCACATTGTGGAGGCATCCAAATTGGAATCCAGTCTCGAGGCCTTCACAGAGGTTTACTTGGGGTCTTGTGGATTCGGATGCCAGGAGAACTGAGACCAAGAGCATGCCGAAATGGAATTTCCAGCACAACACACGTTCGCTAGACTTCTTAAGCCTTTGGAAGGGAGGGAAAGAGGGAATTCCATTCCATTTGAATAATGGGAGATGGAGCCTGCCAATGTTGTTCTGTCTCTGCTTTTATTGATGATTTGACTGAGCTACAAAGACTGAATAAATTACAGGAAAGGCTTAGAATGATCATTCGGATTTTTTTATTTCAAATTGCAGGGCGGTGGGGGCGTTGTCAGCTATTTTTTCCTACACTTAATGTGTTCTATGAAAATATTACCTTAAAATAAAGGTTCAGTCTTTGCTTTTATATTCCTCTCTACCTCAGTGGCGCTCTAGGGAATGTGTTTACTTTTTTTTTCTATTAAAAATCGGTGTGCTTCTATAAAACATGAATGTATAATATGGTATCTAAACCAGCAGATTCATAAAATAGTTGGGTCTCAGCTATCAACCCTACGAATCTCCCAGGACACAGGCAAGCGGTTCAGGGATGAGGTCAGGCCTCTTCATCACCTTGCTTGTAAAGATCATACCTCATCCAAGAGGGCCCTGTGCAGTCACAGCGTGTTTGTTGTTGTTGTTGTTGTTGTTGTTGTTGTTGTTGTTGTTGTTTAATGCGACCTGTGAGAATGAATCCAACAGAATTGGGTCACACAGCATAAAGGAGGAGAGAAATATGTTGCCAGAGCCAAGCCTCTCCACCACCGGCGCACGCTCACGGTGGATGTCCCTGCGGACTTTGCTGGCGATTGCCGGGCCTCCTTCAGACATGCGTCGTCAAGAGACCTCACGAGGATCGAGTCAGACCCGACTGCGGGAAAGGATGGAAACCGTGAGACAGTCATTCCCCGCACAGCCCTGGGGGTCCCCGATGTCCTGCAAGCAGGGACCATCTGGAAACCATCCGAGGATGACTGCTTCACCAGGGGGTGCCCGTGGCCCCTGTGCACCCTCAGACCTGCCTCCACGTCCACCTGGTGCCTTCGCCTCTCTCCGACTGCCTGCAAGAAGGCTCCATCCTCGGGCTTGTGCCTCGTGCCTGAGCCTCTTTGTATCTTTTTGCTGCACTGCCAAGCCCACACTAGTGTTCTGGCTCTCACCGGCCCCCACGTCGCAAAATCCAGAAACCTGTGGTTCACCCAGGGAGCCCAATTGCCCCACTTGTCTTACGCTGGTCCCTGTTCCCACACAGACAATCTCATGGCCTGGGGAAGCCCTCAGTCCTGGGCAAACCAGGACGGCCGGTCATCTAAGAGTCAACTGAGCCGCTGCCCTGCACCTCCCTCCGTGTCCGGTCAGTCACATGTCCTGCAGACTCTGGCTCCCTTTCAGGTCTCTGGGCACGCTCCACCTCTCCCCGCACCTCGCCAAGGTCAGGGCCAGGCCAGGCCACTTTGATCTCTCTCCTGCACACTGACAGCCATCTCTCAACCTTTCTCACTGCCGCTGCTCTGTGAACATGCATCCACTGCCCCACCCTGCAACCAGGGGCACCTTTCTAAGTAAGGGTAGATGCCTCTGCACATTCACATGCACGCGCTCACGCACGCACACACACAGATCCACTTAACCCCTCTTGGTGAACTCCACTTAGCTTTAGGGATGGCCTCTCAACCCGGTGGCGGGCAGGTGAGAGCCCCCTGTGCCGAATCCCTGCTTGGCAGTCTCTCCCTGTCTCTCATTGCTCTCGCCCCTTGATTTGGATGGAATCAGCTG